ACAAGAATGCCTCTTCTTGGTTGCTCACATCCTGTTTATATACTTCAACCAGAGTTTTTGTCCTTCAAGCCACAGCTCGTCACTGATTGGTTTACGTCTTGACCAACATACATTTTTGAAAAGTTGCAGTGCTTTAGTGGAACCACTAAAACCAGATAAAAAAACAATCTCAACTGTTTTCATTACCAACATGAAAATAGTTGGATATGGTAATTTGTTTCCACCACTGATTATTTTAAGCTATCCTGAAGTAAATGTAGATATTTAGGGAACATTTTTATTTCCATGGCTGAAACGAGTAACGTGCAGAAGTAACATTGCAACAGGTGAAAATTAGAGAATTAGAGACATTCACTACTTTCTGCTATTCTGATTGAAACTATTTTTCCTTTTTTTTTTTTTTTTTTCTATGAGCACTTGGTGCTTGCTTTATTTTAAAAGTCTGAACTGTCAAGCAGGCACATTATGGGACAGGACCTGAATGAGTGGATACTTTAGTAAATGTACTCTGTCATTTTCTGTGTTTTTACCCAAGATAATTAGCCATATGACACCTTAGTGCTTTTCATTTAGTCTTATCCCCCTGGTCTTATATTTTTCCAATATATTGCTTGCTTTAATATATCTTAAACATTTTTTATATTTAGTTATTTTGAATTAATCTTTTTTTATTTTGTTAATTTTATTTTATCTAACAAGGTTGAGTCAGGTTCTCTGGATGGATTTTTCTTTGTTGAATATTTCATCTTTTATCCAAAAGACTTTTCTTCAGATTTTGCACGTTTCTAAATATTATTTTTCATTATATTTCAGTAAAATCTTCTATTGAGTCCCACGTGCACCAAAGATGTTGATGCCCACTGGGGAAGGAGTTGCTGTGGAAATGTGTACACCTTTAGTTTGCAGTTTAGACGGTTCCCTCAGTGACCATCTTTCAGATACTAACTAACATAAGACACCACAGCTTATTATAAAGCAACAAATAGTATGGTGCTTCTGTGCTCTCTGGGCTTTTAAATACACATTTTATTGTCTCTGTCAACATTGTTTTGTTTGTGTTTTTAAGATTATTTTCAATCTACAGTTCCTACACTTCCCTGGTGGAATAAACTTTTTTTTTGTTATAAGCACAAATATGTATATATTGGTGCTTAAGGTAAGCAGAAACAAAATGTGGACAAAAAAAAACAAACAAGACAATGTTAAACCACTTACCACAAAGTTAAGTCAGGTCCTCTGGATGGATTAAAAAAAAACAAAAAAAACTTGTATACAATGCAATATTACTGTTTGTGCGAGGGACTGGATCTTTGGGTGGACCAGTCTTTGCCGTAATGTGTTTTGGTGTTTAAAAGCTACTGGGACATTGTGTTTAGAAAATAAATGTCTCAGTTTCTCTGATACTCCCTCAACATACAGAATGACCACTGGTCTGGGTCTGGGTTCCTCCTTTTCACCTGATGGCTTACTGGAGTCCTGTTTGGGTTTCTTCTCTGTTTTCAGGAAGGCCCAGTTAGGATATCCACATTGCTCTAGAGCCTGTCTTGTGTGGGATTTCTCCTTCTGCCTGGCTCCTAAGTTAGTGGGGACGCTGTCTGCTCTGTGGTACAGAGTCCTGATGACTCCTAACTTGTGCTCCAAAGGGTGATGGGAGTCAAACTGCAAATACTGGTCTGTTTAGTTGGGTTTGCAGTACACCTCAGTTTTCAAATGTCCTCCATCATAAACTTGGACTTCACAGTCCAAGAAAGCCAGCCTGCCATTTTTTACATCTTCCCATGTGAACTTGATGTATTTATCTACAGAGTTGATGTGACCAGTAAAATGTTGGACTTCCAGAAATTAAATTTTATCCCAGGTGTCATCAACATACCTGAACCAATGACTTGGTGGTGTCCCTGAAAAGGACGTCAAGGCTCTCTTTTCTACCTCCTCCATGTACAGGTTGGCAACAATAGGAGAAACTGGAGACCCCATAGCACACCCATGTTTCTGCCTTTAAAAAGAGTGGTCACACCACACTTTCCACAGAGCAACTGTGTCAACTCTTGAAACTGTGCCTGAAGTCAACCTACTTCACATATGGGGGGGGCAACGTTTTGGCAATGTTTTTTTTTTTTTTTTTTTTTTTTTTTTTTATGTGGGGGCTAAAAGACATGTCCTGATCAAAAATAACACCAATATTTTTTAACATTAGAACTGGAGGCCAGATTAATGCTATCTAAGGAGGACGAACGACTGAAAAATTATTCCTAAGATGCTCAGATCCAAAAACCAAAACCTCAGTCTTGTCTGAGTCTAAAAGTAGAAAATTAAGGGTCATCCAGGTTTTTATGTCTTTAAGACGAGCTTGTAGATGTACACATCCTTGATAGAGAGGAATGTTGGTTTGAGAGAGGAGCGAAGAAACCATCCATCATTAAACCGGGGAGAGACGCCTCCATGTCCATTTGTCCCCCTCAATGCTGCTATTGCCAGTATCACTCAGCTCTCTGTGAATAGCAAGTGGACATCAGAGCACTAACTATTGGTCGTTAGGCTGATGGTTTTCCTTTATCATGTGAACAGCTAGTTTTGTCTGTCGCCAGCAAACGGGTTGATCCACTATGAGAAGGAGCTATTTATAAGATGGGGTTAAGTGCAGCTCCTCAGATTGACAAAGTCTTTTGGATTAAATATGAAACGTTTCAACAAGTTTTATATTTTTGAATCCATCCAGAGGACCTGACTTGACTTTGTTAGATTTTTCTACCAGGATTATTGAGCATGCATCAGGATGTTAACCACTTACCTTTTTAATGCAGACCAGTCTGTGTCTCCTTGATAAGGAAGTAAGATTTTACACGCAAGCACTGTGAGGATTCTTGTAAGCTAAATGTCTCCTCCGAGCAGTGCTGCTAAAACCCGTCGGGAGTCCTGCAGTGAACAGAAGTCATTTTCATTAGCTCCATCAACAGGACCACCAAAGCCACAGCAGCTGCAGTGTATACAATCTTTTCCAGCTACGTTTAGATAAGATTACATTGTTATATCCTGGTGCTGATTTCTCTGAGCTTTAGTTTTTCTCTGAGTCACGAAGAGATTCTTGTTATTCTGTAGTTAGACTCGTAGCTGATTAGGTCACTCCCCCCCATGTCCTCATGAGACAAACTTCATCTCTGCCTGGTTACCAGCAGTAACACCCAATCACACTCATGACACAGGAACATACTCACATCATACACACACTCTCCTGGAGGTTTTTTTTTTTCCCTCCTCTCCTCCCACATAGTTTCCTACTCACTTGTTCGTTGCATCTTCTCGTTTCCACTTGTTCTCCATTGTTTTTCTTCAGAGCACCTTATCAGGGATTGTTTTCTTCTTTTCCGCTTCAAATCTTATTTAATTCCAGGTCTTATGTCAACTTAGAGGTATAAATATTTGTTTCTTAAATGAGTCTTGTTCACCTTTCTTTTGACAGGAAGCTCTAACAGTTTTTATTTTATTTTTTTGCTCGTTTGCTGATAAGGGGCTCCACACACCTTTGGCCTGTGCCGTTTGTGGTAAAGGCAACAGCAGCGTTGCTGATTTTAGAGCAGCACCCACAGAGTTTGTTTGCTGCTTGGTCAGCTTCTGAGATTATCCCTCTTGTGTTGAAAAGAGGACATGGCTGAAGTTCAAATCACTGTGAGTTGTGACCGCACGACGACTCTCCTGCTGGTTGCTCCCGTTTAATATTTGTGTTTGTGTATGGGTGGGATTTCCCTTTTTTATGAAGCAGTCGTGCTACTTGTGTTATTCTTGCAGTGCACAAAGAAAGGTTGCTGTTCTTTCTCAGTTTAGACTACCTGAAGCTTTGTTTAAAGTTTGCACTTTGAAAAAAAAAAAAACACACAAAAGCTTTGTTTAGGTCTTTGTTATTCAGCCCATTGCTGGAATTGAATTAAAGCAATAATTATCATAATTATAAAGGAAACTTGAGTGTTTCTATCAATAAAAAAAAAAGCATTAAACAAGAAGAGGCAGGAATATAAAACTTTTTCACTCTGAAAAGACCTCGGGACATAAAGTCCTTATGTAAGATTATTGTAGTTAGCAGAAATTACCTTTTGTATGGGTTTTTGTTACAGCAGAGCAAAGCTCTGACTAAAAATGCGTCATTGGTTCATCGGTATATTCTGCAGTGTTGTACATTATGTTAATTAGATTTGATATAATGTGTGCATTGCTAATCAAATCTTCCTGCTTTCACTCCAGAGCCTCTCCGGATAAACCAAAAGCGTCCGGGAAATATGAAAATAGTTTGATATATTTTCCTATTTGCCTAGTCAATCTACCTAAACCCAACCACAAATCTTTTATACACAATATCCCAGATTTACATCGACCAGAACGAACGACCCATCACTTTGCAAGACAAAGTAGAACTACAACTTCCTGTCACTTATGCTGCTGAAATGTTTTAGAAAGAAACTCAATAAATGTTATTGGGCAAAAACCTGATGGCTCTCCAGATGTACAAAATAAAAGACATCATGTGATGTAGCATAGTTTAATTCAAAGTAATTTAACTATACCATGTAGAAATAAAACCAGGTTGGATTATTTTAAATACACCATGTTACTGTTTTGGTGTCAACTGTGTGACTATTTACCCCCATTTTTTTATTTTTATTTAACCTTTATTTTACCAGGATATAAACCCGTTGAGATTAAAAATGTCCTTTTCAAGGGAGTCCTGACCAAGTGGCAGCAACAAATACAACACAAAAAATTACACAGTAAAAAAAATAATAAAAAAATGTCTAGCTGTAAAAATAGGATACATGTCACTGAATTGGCCTCAATAACTTTTAGTTTGGATGAAAAAGCACTCAATAAGATTTAGGGATGGGGCCGATCCAGTATCGGTATCGGCCTCTGATACCAGCAAAATTTACGTATTGGATTTTCCGAGCCCCCTGTCGATATTTCCGATCCATGATGCATGTTGACTTCAAACTATGGAATGGATTTCCTGAACGGCGGCGTGTCTCATGAACCCAGAGTAATAAGACCCGCCTCACATTCAGGAAATCCAGTTCATAGTTTGCAGCCAGCTACAACTTGAGGACTGAGTTAGCAGCACTGTGGCTAACGGCTAACAAACTTTTCATCTAAACATGTCCGCTGTGTGGAAGTATTTCACACTAAAAACACCACAAAGCAATGCAGCAACGTGCAATGTCTGCAGAGCCATAGCGCCACATTAAACCACGGTAAAGTTAGTTTTACGATGGACATTCGAGCTCCGTGGCTTCAGCGGGGCGCTGCTCTTTGCTCAACCGAAAGAGGTGACTCGACCCCGGCCAGCCACGTCCACTCTGCCCCGCTCAGTCTGCCCGTCTCTGAGGAGGGACAGACTGAGCGCGGCTGCCCCAAATCAGGCTGCCTGCTTCAGATTGAACAAGAAGTAGAGGTCGCTGAAACCACGGAGCTCAAATGTTTACAGGGAAGTTGCTAAACTTCATCATAATTAATGACCAACCACTATCAGTTGTAGAAAACGAAGGATTTCTTAGCTTGATACGTGCAGTCAAGATATAGTTTACCCTCCAGAGATATTTATCAGTACAACAGTAGACAATCATAAAAAACATGATTTGAAAATTATATATATTAAAAACATAAACAGCTAGATTATAAAGTGATGTAAAATACTAAAAACAGGAACATGTCTGTTGGTTTATACCATGAACGTAGCAGATGTTTAAAGCCATTTAACATTTTATTTAATTTAATTCATTTATTAATTCATTTAAATGAAACAACATAAAAAAATAATAATAATCAAAAAGAAAACATTGAATGAAAAGAGTGCAGAAAGAAGAAAAAAATCGTATCTGCCTTTTATAAAATATAAAACAACTTTAAACAATCACTTAAATTAATCACTTTAATATCCACTTTAAAGCTAGGAATAAAAAGAAACATGTTTTGTGTTAGTAGAATTTAATTCTAACTTTAAAACTCATCCAACATTAATAAAACTTACCTCAAGTTGCCTTTTTGGACATGCATGCATATATTTTTACAAATTGTACTTGAGAGGAAATTATTACAGCCTCATATAAAATCAATGATGATCATGATATCGGAACTGGATCGGTATCGTCCGATACCCAAGCTCAGGTATCGGGATCGGATCGGAAGTAAAAAAAAGTGGATCGTGCATCCCTAATAAGATTAATTCCGTCAATCTCAGAGATTCTTGTAACAAGTTCCAAGAAAATGGAGAAGAGTGAACGAAAGCCTTCTTACATAATTCAGTCCGAGCAAAAGGGACAGGAAGAAGCAGCAAATCATGTGAGCGAATAATATACGAGTCAACATTTCTCAATGCAATTGCAGTACAAATATAGGCCGGCAGGAGTCCAAGCAGTGCCTTGTAAATACAAGATAACCAATGGGAGTTCCTTCAGGCAGCCAGACCAGGCCGTGAATACAAATCACAATGGTGTGTTGACATTTTGCAGTTTGTAATGAATCTCAGAGAAGTAGACAGAGTCAAGCATCTTATGTGATGAAGCAATCAAAAGATCTCCATAGTCCAAAACAGACCTAAAAGTTGCAGAGACAAGCTGCTTTTTAGCAGTATATGAAAAACACAACTTATTAAAAAAAATAAAAACCCAGCTTTAATTTGAGCCTTTTCACAAGACTTTCCATATGGGGTTTGAAAGTGAGGGAATCATCAATCAAAATGCCTAAATATTTATGTGTGAACCAACTCCATTTCATTTCCACTGCAAGAGAACACAGAGGGGATCTTTTGTGATCCTCTGGATCTGGAAAAGTATATCAATTTAGTTGTATCTCTATTAAGTACAAGTTTTAAATTTAATAAAAAGTGTTGGATAGCAGCAAAGTATTTTTGTAATAATTCAATAACCTGAGTAGGATTGTATTCAGTGCAATAGATAACTGTCGTCTGCATAAACATGCAAATCAGCATCAGACACATTCTGTCCCAATTCATTTATATAAATTATGAATAGAAGAGGACCTAATATAGAACCATGTGGTACCCTCTTATGAACAGTTACAACTTCAGAACACAAATTATGATATTTGTGTGTGTTTTA